CACTTATTAATTAGGAACACAGGATAATTAATTGAGACGATTTAATCAAGAAACAACAGTAGAGCGAGCTGTATAAAATGTTTACAACGACATGAGTTTTCATCACAAGATGTACACCACCTGCTAAGCGACCCCTTGTAGAAGTTACGCCATTGATCAAGAATGAAATCTCCTTTTGAAGAAACACAAACCCCAGACAACACAACAAGAAGTCATTACTTTTGCTGAGCAGAAGTTTGAAGTGAAGATTGGACGATCAACCGTATGTGACTACCTGAAGCAATCTGCTTAGGGGTTGAGCGTCTCTACGACTGATTCCAATGCTTCAAGCTCTCTGAGGCCAAAACATCGTTGAACACTTTGCAAACATTTTTGACACACCACTTAGACGTGTTTGATGTTAATGACCATCAAAGACTTTTTCAAGTTATAAATTATATATGTTATGATACACGCCAGATTGTACATTAGACGTCCACATGTTATTATGGAATTAGTTGTATGGAAACTGTAACATATTCAACATCGGGTCATAATGGCAGCTGATATGCGGTAAAAACAAACGTGAGTTTTGTGTCAATGTGGTCATGAAATAGATATGAAACAGTTTGCTTACGTGATTATATATGTATGTTATGCCATCTATGAATGCTAATAAATGATAACAAGTATGTATTGTTAGTATTTTTTATTTCTGTGAATATTTTTACGTAGGATGAAGATAACTAGATCTACCATTTCTGATATGCATGCAACAGTATGACGATCATGACATTTAGTAAACATTGATATTTTCACACAAATACATAAATCCGACATTTTCATTAATCCGACATTTCCGTTAATCCGACATATTTCTCTGCAACCACAAGTGTCGGATTAACGAGAGTTGACTGTATATCACACAACTACATCACACATCCACATTACAGTATATCACACAAGTATATCACACATCCACATTACAGTCTATCATACAACTATATCACACATCCACATTACATGTATATCACACAACTATATCACACATCCACATTACAGTCTATCACACAACTATATCATACATCCACATTACAGTATATCACACAACTATATCACACATCCACATTACAGTATATCACACAAGTATATCACACATCCACATTACAGTCTATCACACAACTATATCACACATCCACATTACAGTATATCACACAACTATATCACACATCCACATTACATGTATATCACACAACTATATCACACATTCACATTACAGTCTATCACACAACTATATCACACATCCACATTACAGTATATCACACAACTATATCACACATCCACATAACAGTATATCACACATCCACATTACAGTATATCACACAACTATATCACACATCCACATTACAGTATATCACACAACTACATCACACATCCACATTACAGTATATCACACAAGTATATTACGGATCCACATTACAGTCTATCACACAACTATATCATACATCCACATTACAGTCTATCACACAACTATATCACACATCCACATTACAGTCTATCACACAACTATATCACACATCCACATTACAGTTTATCACACAACTATATCACACATCCACATTACATGTATATCACACAACTATATCACACATCCACATTACATGTATATCACAAAGTATATCACACATCCACATTACATGTATATCACACAACTATATCACACATCCACATTACAGTCTATCACACAACTACATCACACATCCACATTACATGTATATCACACAACTATATCACACATCCACATTACATGTATATCACACAACTATATCACACATCCACATTACAGTCTATCACACAACTACATCACACATCCACATTACAGTATATCACACAACTATATCACACATCCACATTACAGTCTATCACACAACTACATCACACATCCACATTACAGTCTATCACACAACTATATCACACATCCACATTACATGTATATCACACAACTATATCACACATCCACATTACAGTCTATCACACAACTATATCACACATCCACATTACATGTATATCACACAACTATATCACACATCCACATTACAGTCTATCACACAACTATATCACACATCCACATTACATGTATATCACACAACTATATCACACATCCACATTACAGTCTATCACACAACTATATCACACATCCACATTACAGTCTATCACACAACTAAATCACACATCCACATAACAGTATATCACACAACTATATCATAAACACAACTGTCTCATATATATGTAGATGAAAGTCAGTACCTATCTCTGACCCCCCACTATACAGATGACAGTCAGCACCTACCTCTGTCCACCCACTATACAGATGAGAGCCAGTACCTACCTCTGTCTACCCACTATACAGATGACAGCCAGTACCTACCTCTGTCAACCCACTATACAGATGACAGTCAGTACCAGCCTCTGTCCACCCACTATACAGATGACAGTCAGTACCAGCCTCTGTCCACCCACTATACAGATGACAGTCAGTACCTACCTCTGTCTACCCACTATACAGATGACAGCCAGTACCTACCTCTGTCCACCCACTATACAGATTGACAGCCAGTACCTACCTCTGTCCACCCACTATACAGATGACAGTCAGTACCAGCCTCTGTCCACCCACTATACAGATGACAGTCAGTACCTACCTCTGTCCACCCACTATACAGATGACAGTCAGTACCTACCTCTGTCCACCCACTATACAGATGACAGTCAGTACCTACCTCTGTCTACCCACTATACAGATGACAGTCAGTACCTACCTCTGTCTACCCACTATACAGATGACAGTCAGTACCTACCTCTGTCTACCCACTATACAGATGACAGTCAGTACCTACCTCTGTCTACCCACTATACAGATGACAGTCAGTACCTACCTCTGTCCAACCACTATACAGATGACAGTCAGTACCTACCTCTGTCTACCCACTATACAGATGACAGTTGGTACCTACCTCTGTCCACCCACTATACAGATGACAGTTAGTACCTACCTCTGTCCACCCACTATACAGATGACAGCCAGTACCTACCTCTGTCCACCCACTATACAGATGAGCCAGTAGCCAGTACCTACCTCTGTCTACCCACTATACAGATGACAGCCAGTACCTACCTCTGTCAACCCACTATACAGATGACAGTCAGTACCAGCCTCTGTCCACCCACTATACAGATGACAGTCAGTACCAGCCTCTGTCCACCCACTATACAGATGACAGTCAGTACCTACCTCTGTCTACCCACTATACAGATGACAGCCAGTACCTACCTCTGTCCACCCACTATACAGATTGACAGCCAGTACCTACCTCTGTCCACCCACTATACAGATGACAGTCAGTACCAGCCTCTGTCCACCCACTATACAGATGACAGTCAGTACCTACCTCTGTCCACTGTCTGCACCACACTATACAGATGACAGTCAGTACCTACCTCTGTCCACCCCACTATACAGATGACAGTCAGTACCTACCTCTGTCTACCCACTATACAGATGACAGTCAGTACCTACCTCTGTCTACCCACTATACAGATGACAGTCAGTACCTACCTCTGTCTACCCACTATACAGATGACAGTCAGTACCTACCTCTGTCCACCCACTATACAGATGACAGTCAGTACCTACCTCTGTCCAACCACTATACAGATGACAGTCAGTACCTACCTCTGTCCACCCACTATACAGATGACAGTCAGTACCTACCTCTGTCTACCCACTATACAGATGACAGTCAGTACCTACCTCTGTCTACCCACTATACAGATGACAGCCAGTACCTACCTCTGTCAACCCACTATACAGATGACAGTCAGTACCAGCCTCTGTCCACCCACTATACAGATGACAGTCAGTACCAGCCTCTGTCCACCCACTATACAGATGACAGTCAGTACCTACCTCTGTCTACCCACTATACAGATGACAGCCAGTACCTACCTCTGTCCACCCACTATACAGATTGACAGCCAGTACCTACCTCTGTCCACCCACTATACAGATGACAGTCAGTACCTACCTCTGTCTACCCACTATACAGATGACAGTCAGTACCTACCTCTGTCCAACCACTATACAGATGACAGTCAGTACCTACCTCTGTCCACCCACTATACAGATGACAGTCAGTACCTACCTCTGTCTACCCACTATACAGATGAGAGCCAGTACCTACCTCTGTCTACCCACTATACAGATGACAGCCAGTACCTACCTCTGTCAACCCACTATACAGATGACAGTCAGTACCAGCCTCTGTCCACCCACTATACAGATGACAGTCAGTACCTACCTCTGTCTACCCACTATACAGATGACAGCCAGTACCTACCTCTGTCCACCCACTATACAGATTGACAGCCAGTACCTACCTCTGTCCACCCACTATACAGATGACAGTCAGTACCAGCCTCTGTCCACCCACTATACAGATGACAGTCAGTACCTACCTCTGTCCACCCACTATACAGATGACAGTCAGTACCTACCTCTGTCCACCCACTATACAGATGACAGTCAGTACCTACCTCTGTCCACCCACTATACAGATGACAGTCAGTACCTACCTCTGTCTACCCACTATACACAGATGATCAGTACCTACCTCTGTCTACCCACTATACAGATGACAGTCAGTACCTACCTCTGTCTACCCACTATACAGATGACAGTCAGTACCTACCTCTGTCTACCCACTATACAGATGACAGTCGGTACCTACCTCTGTCCACCCACTATACAGATGACAGTTGGTACCTACCTCTGTCCACCCACTATACAGATGACAGTTAGTACCTACCTCTGTCCACCCACTATACAGATGACAGCCAGTACCTACCTCTGTCCACCCACTATACAGATGACAGTCAGTACCTACCTCTGTCCAACCACTATACAGATGACAGTCAGTACCTACCTCTGTCCACCCACTATACAGATGACAGTCAGTACCTACCTCTGTCCACCCACTGGTCCTGTGCTATGTAGATGACGGCTGGCACACAGTACTGAGCCACTCCAAGTTTGTCTGGGTCTGTGGTATTGGACATCCACACTGGCAGGACAACATGGCAGTAATGCTGCAACACAGACAGAAGTACCACATCATCAGTCACATTGCATTTGCTTCATACAGTTTACACTCAAATATTATGTTAGGTTTGTAAAGTTGCTTTCCTTACATGAAATTCCTCTGAGAGAAGACACAGTAGTAACTAGTTAACATGAACATACTGAAGTGATGACGTAAGTAAGTTTTTACAAAGCAAGTAGCTACTAGATTAACGGTTTGTACCTGTGGGACTCCAACACACTTGTCCAGAACATTGAGATCTGCCTGAGTCAGTTGATACACACAGCCCTCCACGGAGCAGAATGGGTTGAACTCTATGTTGGGGAAGCATCCTGCTTCAACATCTGCACCTGGGGACAGAAGGTGGGCAATGAAGTACACAATTATCACCACTGCAGTGTCATTCAATCATTATTTGCACTTAAAAAGCCACAGGCCTATAGTACAGGTATACACACAATATTATTAGGCAGCAGAGCATTTACAAGCTGATGGTCAGATATATGTTCATCTGATCTGTCAAGCTACATATAGCTTTAACACTCCATTGTTCTTAATGGTGAATGAATGCGTTTAGTTTTATGCCACACTTTGCAACATTCCAGCCATATGGCAGCGGTCTGTAAATAATTAAGTCTGGACAAGACAATCCAGTGATCAACAGCACGAGCATCAATCAGTTCTATAATAGAATAGCAGGTTGATCTAGTACAATCAGATATCATGTTCCGTTCAAGTATAGATAAATCTATATCAGTCTGCTGTTACATGCTTGACAATGTAAGTGGCAATGAGTGAGATGTTTTTTATATAACTCTGGACAACAGGACAGAATCGGTTCACAAGTTGTCCATCTCAGTTATGGGGCGCCAGTGACCAGTCATGTACATACCTTTCTTGTTGAAGACCAGACTGAAACCCATGAGGAGCCCCCAGAAACGCTGGCTGATGTCCCTCTTCAAGTACAGGCTCATCCTGAAAACCAAAACCCAAACCCACATGGACTTCATAATTTACACAGCATAATTTAAACTAAAACAATGTGTGACTGGAAGCAACTCTTGTGCAGAAGCATTAGAAATCAATTGTCATATATAATGAACCATACATCATTATTATACAAAGACTAACCTTTCTTGTGGGGATTAAAAATAGATGTTCTTGACAAATAATAAAACCTGCTTTAAAAAAATCAGAACTTTTGTTCCTTGGGACAGACAATGACATTGAAGGTTGTCATTCTAGTCACGTACCTGTCATTGTTCATGTCTGCCCCGTAGGCGAAGTAGTACAGATATCCCTGTGGCGGCCGGGCGTTGATGGAGAAGCACAAAGGGGGGAAATGGGGCTGAAGGTTTGTCAGCTTTCTTCACTCTATAGGACAGATCGTGTATATGAGCAACAGACACTAAATCATACACTGCCTCATGCTTGATGATAATAACTTCAACACAATTGTCAAACTAAATGAAATGTCAGGCATAGGCTAATTATGCTGATTGTTCCTCAAAGGAGTACTGACATGTTTGAATGCAGTTATCGTACAATGTGACAGATGTGTACCATAGAGAATCTGTGAAGTGTACAGAGTACCACAAAGAAGAGTCTGGCAGTAACTACTTAGAAGCATTATTTGAAGCATCATTTGTAACCATGACAACCGTTACATGATATCAACAATACATGCATCAGTGAAATACTTTTTTTATCAGATGCTTGAAATGAAAAGACTCATGGCCTACACATGGCCTCTGAGCATTTAGACCCTGTCAGTCAGAAATAGATAGAACAAAGATGTCTGGACATTATGGTGGCTGACTGGTCTATCCCACTCCCAAATATCTACAGTCAAATCCCGATGAGTCGAATGCCGGTGTCTCGAATATTATGTATAACTCGAAGTACCTGTCGGTCCCGACCATTCCCTGTTATAGTTGTCATCATTTGATTTCCGGTTACACAGATTCGTCTCATAAATACACACTATGACTCGAGAAGAAAATTTGGTCCCATGAGATTCAAACAACAGCAATCTTGTATACATAAGCCGAAGTCAGTCAATGAGAAGTTGATTGGTGTAGCAAACTGATCCAATTAACAAACCAGCGTGGCTCACACCTTTCCGCCATTGACGGGTGAGTTCAAAAGGCAGATTAGTGATTTTACGGAAATTCCTGTCTGTGCTAATCAGACTGGAACTGATAAGGTGGCCCTATTAGTGATAGGGAAATCATTACATAAACAAATGCTTACGTGGAGGAATTAGGACTGGATCATCTTTTTTTTTCTACCCTCATAGACATACCTATGTCTCGAATACATCGATAGGTCGAATTTATTACTTGGTCCACAGAGATTCGACTCATCGGGATTTGACTGTATATATATTGGATAAAAAGGGGTTTTCAAAGCATACCTTGTCATTTTAAAATACTTACTTCTGTTTTGACAATTCCTTTGTGGTTGCTACTACGGTAAGCTCCTTCTTGCCTGAAACGTGGTGCTGTCTGTAACGAGCATTACAAACTGAACAATAAATGTCACTTCTTGTTTTGATCATACTTTACTAATACAATACAAGAGGAGTCAGTACTGAAGACTTGGAACAGTAATGAAGCAAAGGTAGACTATTGAAGAGAAGCACGTCTTCGCCAGTCAACTCAGATGGCCTTGGACTCAGACTACCATTTTCATTCTTCAGGAACACAAAAAATAGTCATGCTCTGTGTGAACTACACTTACCTTATCTCCAAACAGGTAGACTTCACAACAGGCTGAAACATAACAAAATATGTTTCTTGAATATACACATGTATCTACATATACACTTTACTCTGTTACTGCAAAGAAACTTTATATAACTACAATTACCCCATTCTCTTCCCACAGAGGTTACTTGTCATAATTTCCTACGAACCTCTGTTCTAATACCCTTTCATGGTGCGAGTGTTCAGGATTCGTGATTGGTTGCAATCAGATTAAGTTGTGCAATTAGCGACATTGTTTCAAAAGTAATCATTCACAAAGTCTCGGTAATTTCCATATGCTTTGGGAAAACTAGAACCTCTTCCCCTGCACGATGCGCAAACATTTCTTCTAGACAGAACTCAGTCATGTAAATAGCGGATCAATGGCGCCCTTGATGACATCAGGCAAGCTAGCCATCAAATGTCTTGTGTGTCACATAAACACAAGTACCCGGCAGAGGAGGGATATTTGTGGCCCCACATTTGCTTGTATGGAAAGAAGGGAGATAATTCGTGTTGCGATTTTGTGCCGCTAGGGGATTTTACGAGAACTGGGAAATATGGCCCTATTAGAACAGAGGTTCGTAGGAATATATGACAAGTGTGGGAAGAGAATGCAATTACCCAACAAACATTGCGGTGTCGCTTCTTTCATGATCATGTGAAATATGTAAAGATGTCTGCATGAGTAGGTGAGTGCTGCTGTCAGCTACAGTACATTCACCAACACACCAAACAGAACAAATGTCCTCTCTCTATTGAAATGATACTGATGTGGTCTTTTCTCACAACTTACACATCAACCTGTGCCAGTAGATGCATATGCTTGGCTTTGTTTTGAGGCGTGCGAGGTTCAATCTGCTTCAGCCCAGTCCTCATCAGGCAAGAACATTGCTGTCTGCCCACAAGGCTACTTATTAATCTACCCGTGAAGATCCGGGTTAGAATTGATCTCCAGTAACCCATGCTTGTTGTAAGAGACGACTAACGGGATCGGGTGGTCGGGCTCGCTGACTTGGTTGACACAGGTCATCGGTTCCAAAATGTGTAGATCGATGCTCATGGTTGATCACTGGATTGTCTGGTCCCGACCAGATTATTTACATGCCGCCGCCATATAGCTGGAATAATGCTGAGTGCGGCGTAAAAGTAAACTCACTCACTCACTTATCAATCTGTAAATTTGAAAACTGGTTATAACGGTCAGGGTTACATACCTGTTCCACTTCCTCCACTGTTGTACACAGCATCTTCAGGAAGGTGTCTGCTTTCTCAGGGATTCTGTCAGTGGTGTCTTCCTTCTCTGAAATCTCAGTCTGTTCTGCACAACCATGGTCATGCTCTTCACATTCTTCAGATACATCTCCTCTGTCTGAATGTGAGGTATCTTCTGTAAGTGGCACTTTCCCCTCGGTGTTCTGAGATATGTTTTCAGGTGTTTCAGCTGCCTTTTCTTCACTCCCAGTTCCCCCAGAAACTGCGACTGACCCCTGCCATCTTGGACTTGTGATGTGTTCACTGATCATCAGGCAGTTCTCACTCACCTCCATACACTTCTTCCTGTAGGTCTTCAAAAGTGACTGGTAGTAACCATCAGACTGAAGACCAAGGGATGCTGCTGGACACCAAACAGATTCTGCATCCTCGTCATTTACTTTGTCTGGATTAGAGTAAAAGTCCTCTCTACTTTTTAGAGAATGACGAAGATGTTCTGTCTCGCTAAGGAGCTGGGCCTGCTGATCAATATTTTTCTTCAGCTCTGATTGAATCAAATCTATCTGATGGTCCAGGTCATCAAATGTGAGAACCTCTATCTCTTCCTCATCAATATGAAATCCAGTTGGATTTGGTACATTGTGTTTTAACCTGCCTGAACTTGAGTTGCTTGTTTGGCTGCTGTAACTACTAACAGACCGGCCACTACTTGGTCTTTTCTGGGTTGAACGTGATTTACTTTGTCCTTGGATATTTGTTTTACATACTGGTTTATCTGTTCCACTCTCAGCCCCACTGTCAATTAGATCTGATGGGTAATGATGCCTTGCTCCTACCCCATAGGATGAGGGCTTTGAAGGTGATTGGCTGCTCTTCCCCCTTCTACTTCGTGAAGATGCATTACTTTCTTTTCTTTGGCTGGGAGGACATGGAGGAGAGAAAGGACGTTTTTTAAATTCTGATGCTGTTGTTCCTCTTCCCTTAGTTTTCTTTCTACGATTAACATTAACAGGTGGCTTTTCTATCAAATTGTTAACACTGCCATAACAATGTTCAAACTGATTCAACATTTCATGAGATGAGAATGTTACATTAACTGACGGATCAGATTCCATGAAAGTTTCAACAACTGGTGGATCAGATGCTATAATGACCTCTTCTAAGTCTTCCTCAACCTCATCCTCTTTCTGTTCCTTATCTGGTTCAGTAAAATGCATACTTTTATCAGAAGTTACTGGCATACAAATATTTGCAGCTGCAATTCTCTCTGACAGAGAAATGAGTGGAAATGGCCTTGCAGTAGCTTCTTGGTCTTCACATGGCCCCTTGTCATTTTGGACAGCATTTAGCTGGCACTCCTCTGAGCTGACTGAACAGACGGAATCATCAACAGGAGCTGCATGTGCCAGGAATTCCTCCATGAACGATGTCCGAACAACAGAGTCAGAAGCATTGCTTGTTGTCTTGTCAGGAGTTTTATTTGAGCTACATTGTTGACTTGTTGATGCCAAAGTTTGTGAAAATGTCTGTGAAGATTGAAAATACACTGATTTCTTTGGCGAATAATTCTCTTTGTCATCATCAGGATCCTCAGGTTCTTTGCCTAGTTCTATCTCACTGGGTTTGCATCGTGACTTAGACTGATTGGAGGAAGAAAGATTGTTACCCTCATTTTCACATGCTTTATTATTGGAGTCTGGACTTCCTGAAGACACATCCTTGTCAATCACTGCATCATTCCATGCTTCTACTTTGGGGCTTTCAGTCTCATCTGCAAAACGAACTGATTTACTTGTACTTTTACGACGAGACAAATCACCAGTGGAGAGAGGCCTGGTTTCTGTTGTCCTGAAGTTCTGTGTGAGTTGGGTTGTAGCACTATATGGTCGGACTCTTCCTTCGACTGATGAGTTCCCACTCTGGTGTTCCTCCTGGGCAGTACCTGCAGTAACATATGTCATCTTCTCACATGATCCACCATTACTCTTCTCAGCCTCCACAACATCATCTCGACCCTCAGCTTCCAACAAGTCTTTTGTGTCAATTCCCAAAAGACTTATTCTCTTCTCCAGCATTTCGGGCCATCTGTATTACCTCCCTTGATGCAGCTTCCACTTCAGGTGGAATAACTTCCCCTGACACAGGGTCATCAGTCAGAGCCTCCACATTTCTGCCCGATGTAAGGAACACTGTACTGGTGTCTCTGCTGGAGTCCCGAGATGATCCTCTGACCACTGTTTCACTGCCTTCTGGAGATACAATTGGAGATGCAGAGGCCAAGTCTGAGGGCTGAGTCACTTCACTGATGCCTGCAAGTAAAAAAAATTGTATCTGGAGTTGGTTGGTTGGTTATTGTTTATCGTTGCACTCAGCACTACTCCAGCTCTATGGCAACGGTCTGTAAATATTCCAGTCTGGACCAGACAATCCAGTGATCAACAGCATAAGCATCAATCAATTGGGATACAATGACATGTGTCAACCAAGTCAGCAAGCCTGACCACCCGATCACCTCTTACAACAATCATGGGTTACTGAAGATCAATTCTAACCCAGATCTTCATGGGTTGAAACCTGAAGAGAAGGGATGAAGTATCTGTGTGTTGGTGTACCTTGATGAGTCTGAGACGGGACTGTCGAGACACTCGGCAGGGAAGAGGCGGAGGAGGATGCTTGGGGAAACCTGCAACACAGAAACACTAACCCAATAACCTCCACAACACTGGTACTTGGAAACAGAAGACACACCTGCTAACAAATAACATGACAACCAACCACTTTTTTTCACATGAATATGTAATTTTTATGATAAAATTAATATTTTATACTTATCCTGACTCATGCTTATTTGCTTTCTCATCATCCTCTCTTCCGAACGGTCAAGTAGAAACTTGAATCCCTTCAATTCCCTTGAAGCGAACGTACAATCACTCACCCTGAATTACCTCCCTTTTCCCGCCAAAACTGGCACGTGACCTGCCATGCCTTGCTCCTCACTCTCTCCGATATAAGCCCCACACAGGTTTACAAGGAAACCCGTGTGGTGAGAGGGGACGGTTGGGAGGGCTTCATCTCATGAGTCAGGATAAGTATAAAATATTAATTTTATCATAAAAATTACATATTTTTCCTTATCCTGACTCATGCTTATTTGCTTACTGAATCCGACAGAATTGGTGGTGGGTCAACCATCTAACGGGATTCCCTGTATGATTGTATTCACGTCAGTGTTCGCTTGATATATATCGCTCTGACCGGGCATAAAGATAAATCTTGAGTGTCTTCTGGACCCAGGATTGTTGATGACGGAACGTAGAACTGACGATCCGGTTGGCCCGGTAGCTGGTTCTTGGCTATAAAGTCCCATCTAAAGCCTAGATGGACTGCTTCCCTTCTTTCTGTGTCGAATCTCGTACGGCGGAAGTCAAGGGCGTGTATTTCTGACATCCGAGCAGCAGTAGCCAAGGCGAGGAGGAATATCGTCTTTTGAGTTAATAACTCAAATGTCGTCTGCGTCAGCGGTTCGTATACATCACTGATGAGGTGTTGCAACACTATGTTGAGGTCCCATGCTGGTGCTCCGAACTTCTGTTGTTGATCTTCCAACTTCAAAAATTTCAGCAGGGCCACTAGTTCCAAGCACCTTGGTCAACTTTACCCCTGTCTTCATGGTGATGACCGAGCTGATTGCCGCAAGGTATGTAGACAGCGTAGAGTCTGCTACTTGTGGATGTGTCGTCTTTCTGGCTGTGAATCCCTGTTGAACAGCATACTGGTCAAAACTTATACAAACCTGTAGAGGTTATGAATTCTTTGAAGAAAGTCCTCCTTGGGGTACTTATAAGCATTAAAATGTCCATTTTGAAACCTACGACAGTTGTAACTATATTTCAATAAAAAATATTTACAAAACGAAAAAACCCGTTCTGCGTTATGAGACCACCCCTACAGGGCCCCCATGGGGCTCCCTAGCAAGAGCAGGTAAGTCTAGCCGACAACCTCGCGACCTCACTTTTCATGCTGAACTGATCAGACAGAATGAGGGGAGGGTGTCAGACCCAAGGAGGACTTTCTTCAAAGAATTCATAACCTCTACAGGTTTGTATAATTCTTTTCAGAAGAAGTCCTCCTTGGGGTACTTATAAGCATAAAACAGACTCCCAAAGATCAGAAAACCGGAGTGGCATTCTGTCTGACACACTGGTCCGAACGCAGTAACGTGTAGTACAGCCCGTATGAAAATAGAAATCACACTTACCCAGTCGCGTGTCCGCCAATGTCAATCAAGGCGGGGGGCGTGACTAAGGCGAGGACCCTGGGAGGTCAAAGCTTAGTGTCCATTGGTCAATTGGTACACACCCCCAAGATAAAACTCCGCCTCCCATCCTGATTGGTGGAAGTGAGTAAAAACTAGGGACTCGCCAAAACAAACTACTGTCCATAGCACACCGCTAGCCAAGCGGGGAAAAATGGAAAATATAAGCCAAAGGCACCGATACCAAAAGAACGGAAATAAAAACCGCCACCACATACCTTCACCAGTGCAAAATAGGGGAGAATAGACCCAACACCAGTATAAAACACTGAGTAAATCAGCGACAAGGCTCACTCGGCCTGAGGCGTGTTACTCTGTCCACTGTGGAGAATCGTTTGGCCGAACCGAGCACGCTCACGCGAATGTTTGTCCAGCTGATAATGGCGAATGAACGTACTCGGTCGGCTCCAAATAGCCGCAGAGCAGATCTCCTCAATGGGCAGAGCAGCAGCATACGCTTTAGACGTGGCAACTGCTCGAACCGAATGAGCCTTTAAACCCTCTGGGGGAGTCATACCCTTGTGTATGTAACCCATACAAATCGCCGACACGATTCACCTCGATATGGTCTGTGTGGTAACTGGGTGACCTACTTTACCGCCCCCGTAACAGCAGAATAACTGCTTCTCTTTACGGATTGACACTGTTCTCTTGACATACGTCTTAAGTGTCTTACGTACATCCAACACATGTACTCTGCGCTTTGCGCTACCAGACGAAGCAGGAAGCGTAAAGGCAGGCAAATCAATAGGAGCGGTGACATGAAACGCTTTATCGATTTTTGAGCGGTAGGAATCAGGTAAACGAATACTTACCCTATCCTTGTGAAAAACGGTAAGCTCCGGGTCTGAGGACATAGCATGAATGTTTCCCACCCGTCTACCTGAAGTAATGGCCACCAAAAATGCCGCTTTCCAACTTAACAGTTGAAGCGACAATCCCGACATATCGTAGAAGAAAGGACTAGATAGCCAATCTAAAACGATGGACAGATCCCATGGCGGACTTGTCCGTCGGACGACCGGACGCACTCTGTCCACACCTGCTAAGAAACGCTGAACCAGAGGGTGTTGTCCTAAAAGGGCACCCTCGGTAGGAATGTGGAAAGCTGAAATAGCTGTGGAGTAGCCTCGGATAGTAGACGCGGCTAGGCCGGCTTCCAACCGAGACTGTAAAAACTCCAAAACTTCAACTACAGTCGAAGAAAAGGGATCAAGTATCCCTATGTTTCCACACCAGCGCGCATAACAGGCCCATCTATCCTCATACTGTAAGTTAGTCGAATCCCTCCGCGAAGCCAGAATTGTGTCTGCAACTGGTGCAGGAATTCGCTTCAGACGGAGGCGACTCCTGACAGTGGCCAAGCCACCCACTGGATCCATGGATCCGGGTGTGGCTGGCCTTCCTGGGATAGGAGGTCGGTCGCGATCGGTAATAGCACAGGAGGCTGTACTAGCGATCTGAGTATTACGGGAACCAGCGTAGAGACGACCACAGAGGTGCAAGAAGCACAAGTAGTCGCGCTGGTTGGGTGGCTAGCTGCGATAGGACTCTGGGAATCAGGGGTATCGGTGGGAAAGCCCACAGCACCCTGTCCGTCCAATCTAGCTGGAAGGCGTCGGAGGCGATCGCTCCCGGATCCGGGATCCTGGAGCAAAACACCGGAGTCTGGTTCGTCACCCCAGAGGCAAACAGATCCACCTGGAGCGACCGAACAACTGGGAGATAGCCCGAATATCTCCGGTCGTAAACCCACCGAGAGGGGCCAGGATACGACGTGAGAGTGCATCTGCACGCACGTTGTCCTCCCCCGGGAGATACACAGGTAATACCCGTGTGTTGAACCGGTCGCACCTCAGCAGAAACTGCCACGCCTCCTGGAGGAGTGACGGAGACACCGTACCGCCCTGCTTCAGGATATAGGACATCGCCGTTTGATTGTCCATTTCTAGACGAACCACACGGTTCCGAACCTGCTCCATGAAGCGTTCGAACACCAGTCGGACCGCTCTCAATTCTAACACGTTGATGTGTAAGGTCGCCTCGTTCACGGACCAAAGTCCGGAAGCTGTGAGGTCCCCTAGGACACCCCCCCACCCTGTGAGGGAGGCGTCCGTCTGAATTGTGAGCGTAGGCACCGGGGTCTCCAGTGGGATACCCCTGACTAGATTCCCGGTGTCGGTCCACCACCTCAGGTGGGGGAGAAGCCACTCTGGAGTTAGGAGAATTGTCTCGTAACTCCCCGAGTGTGACCACAGCTGTGCTAACGCTTGCTGAACTGGCTGCATCCTCAGACGCGCACGCCAAACTACGTCCACCGTCGCCGCCATGTTGCCTAGCAACTGAAGCCATGTGCGTGCTGAGGCCCTGGGGGACTGAAGGAATTGTAAAACAACCCTTTGGACTTTGGAAATGCGGTCTTGAGACAGAGAGACTAAGCCCTGCTGTGTCTGGAATCTCGCCCCCAAGAAAACCAGATCCTGGGAACGGAACCAGCTCGGATTTCTTGAGGTTGAGAATATCCATCACCGTCTGTGTCGATTCCCGACTCAAGTGAGTGGAAAGCGCCCTGAGCAGCCAGTCGTCCAGGTACGGGTAACAAAAGTTGCCCTGTGCCCTGGCGACTTGAGCTGGCACTAGCATGAGTTTTGTGAACACCCTTGGCGCCGTGGAGATGCCAAAGGGGAGCACACGAAACTGATAGCACCTCCCGTCGAAGGAAAACCGGAGGTATTTCCTGAACTCGGGGTGCATTGGTACATGAAGGTACGCGTCCTTGAGGTCGATTGACGTAAGCCAATCCCCTGCCTCCACAGATGAGATCATCGACCGCAGTGTCTCCATCTTGAAGGACGGTACCTCTAGCAAACTGTTCAGACCCTTTAAATTGAGAATGGGTCAGCCTGGACCTCGGCACGGAGAACATCGGCCTTTTCCATCCCTGAGTGTGGACAGGACCCAGGGATTTGATGTGACTTTCTCCCATTCCCGAAGGAAGACAGGTAGCCGGCCGCCGACAGGGACTTCGGGTAAGAGGCAGTGAATCCCGGCAGTCGGCAGTGTAACAACCGCTTGTGCCGGGACCAACAAGGGCTCCGGAGGAATGCTTACTGGGAAGCCGGGGCCGACTTCCCCTTCCTCTGAAAATGCTGCTGAGAGGAGGCAGCCTTGCCCCTACCTCTACCCCTGCCCTTGCCTCTACCTGCCTGAAGTGGAGCCGTCCACTTGGGCGCTTCCTTTCCTGAAGAGGAAGGGTAAGCTGAGGCAAGGACGGAAGGCCGGGCGCGAGCAGTGAGGGGTTGCTCGAGTAAGGGCTTTGAGTCCTTAAACTGGAACAGGGTTGAGCCCATCCTGAACGGCAGAGACAA